AAAACTGACTTCTGCTTAAAAACTGTGTTTCCCCCCCTGATTTCAAAGTATTATATGCATTTAAGGATTGAAGAATTATGTTTCTTTCCTTCTAGTGTTAGGCATTCCCTCTGTCTAGTAAATCAGATGGCGAGTAGGCCTACCTTTAATTAGAACTAAGACGTTAACTTACTAGTGAAACTGATTGAGGAAGGAAATTCACCTTTTTCAAGGTAGAGAGGATTGTATTCAGCATTTTCCCTATCATTCTTGTGAGATAAACTTTAGAAACTTGTTTTATTACATCATTGTTAAAGTTAATGCCCAAGATTACATTTTTACTTCTGTGTTCTGCTGTTCTTACTTCATTACTGATGCAGGATAACTCAGTGACAAAAAACTGTGCAATGTAGATCAGTAGAATGGCTATGCCTCAGTCATTTTTACTATTGAATGTGAGTTGTATTGCTGATTTCCTGAAAATCATTTGTACGAATGATTAGAATGTGGTACTATGAATTTTCTTTCCTGACTTCCTTTCTGGTTTTCTTGATTATACCAATTCAGTCTGACCGCGGTGAGAGTTGTAGTGGTCCAGAGTGTGCCTGCTGGCAGAGAGGGGAAAAAAGAAAGTCAGACTAGAGTTTGGATTTGGCTATAGATAATCTGGGTGATTGAATTTTTAAATGATAAATCAACAAAATTCTCATTATCTGGAAGCATAACTTGAGTTTTGTATTAGTTGAAAATAGTAGCCCTTGCATTGGCAGTGTTTAGTCTTCTAACATTACCTAGAAAATGGAAATTTGGGCTTTTTGCTTTGAGAGTACCTTCCCAGGAAATATTAGGAGCACATTGGCTAAGGTAAAATTTCGTTTTGGTTTATATTTTGGTTTGAAATCATGCTTTACTGGTAAATTGCAAATCCATAGGCACATTCATTTTGAGGTACTATCAGTTTCAGAAACAGTAGAATTACATTGTGGCTCTACTTTAGTCAGTTAATAAAAATAAATGTGATTTCTTTCTTCTTTTATAGAAAAAGAGAAATATTTTCTCTTACATGTTACATTCTAAAGAAGTTTACCACATGAGAGTAGTTTTTGTAGTCTAAAAAATTGTCTATACCTTCTGTATCTTTCTATACCAACTGAGCAACTTGTGTGGTAAATAACTGTTGTTATGTATGACTTGGTTTTTTGTTTGTTTGTTTGCCTAATTGGAATGTAGATATTTAATTTTTTGGGTTTTTTAAAGATTTTATTTATTTATTTGACAGAGATCACTAGTAGGCAGAGAGGCAGGCAGAGGGGGAGGGGAAGCAGGCTCCCCGCTGAGCAGAGAGCCCAAAGCAGGGCTCCATCCCAGTACCCTGAGATCATGACCTGAGCCAAAAGCAGAGGCTTAACCCACTGAGCCACCCAGGTGCCCCTATTTAGTTGTTTTCTGATGATCTAAAGCCAGTGTTGCTTCCTGAATGCTTAGGTGGAAATAATTCTGTTGCTTCAAAAACAACTGTGTTGCCTATAATGTTTATGCTTTCAGAACTTCTTAATTACTTCTGTATGAATTGTATATGTCACTGGAAAGAAAAGAGCCTGCTCTTCAGACCCAGGTTGAGTCCCAGCTCTGCCACGGAGTAGTTAGCTGAATGAATAGCTTTCAGAGCCTCAATTTGCTCATCAATAAGACTACCTGTATTATTGACTTGGTGTGTTATGCCTCTAGTATTATGCCTACTGTATGGTAGGCAGCCAGTAAGCATTACTTACTCTATTTCTTTTATTTTGTACTTTTCAAAAATTTTTAAAAGATTTATTTATTTATTTGAAAGAGAGAGCGCGCATAGGGGGACACACACCACACACACACACACACACACACACACACACACACACACACAAAAGGCAGGGGAGGGGCTGGCGGAGAGGGAGAGACTCTAAAGCAGACTCCCTGCCCAAGGCTCAAAGCCATGACCTTGAGATCATGACCTGAGCCAAAATCAAGAAACAAATGTTTAACTGAGTAAGCCACCCAGGTGCCCCTATTTTATATTTTAAATTTAACTTGTGTCCTGAACAGAACCCTTGGTGATTTTGTTACAGTATAATAATTTTATACAGAGCACTCTTGAAGGCAGTAGGAAAAGAATATCAGTTACTAAATTTGGTCTATATGATGTTAGATCTTTAACGCAGGTCTCATCTTTTTTATTCTTTTTAAAGATGTGTATTGTACAGTGTTACAGTATATTGAAAATATACAATTGTGCCAGATACCTTGCAAGATCCCTGTGCTAGAAGCTTTGTATATATTGTCTCTCATCCCCATAACTGCAGATATACTTTTTTTGTTGTTGAAAAAAAAAAAAAAAAGATGATATCTGGAAGGCTTTTTAAAAAAATGTGTGTGTAATAATGGGTGTGTTGTTTTGGATTAAAATCCCTATATGGTATATTGTAAAATGACCTTCTGCCATATTGTTGAGGAATGAAGTTTCTGTTATCAAACGAGTCATCTCCACTGGGACTAAAGAGTAGTGGTCTTCAGGAAGCTGTGAGGGTGTTGAACTATTGCTGTTAACTGTGATATTAATCATCGGTGATATCAGTGTGGACTGTTATTGCTGGAGGGTTTTTTCTTTTTCTCCTATCCCTCCACACCCCCCTCCCCCACCACCTTTGCATTCCTTCTTCCATTATGTGCTTATCAATTAATTCTTAAATCTTCCAAGTGTGAGTACCTTTCTTAATTTTAGTCTTTGGCTTTTATAATGACATTGCAAGTTTTTTCCCTTAAAACAGAATCTTTACAATGGTTCTGATTATATCAAAAGGAAAATCTGGCATGTGTTTGGATTTTTTTCTTAAGTTGATATATGTTTTAGTTTTTCAGGGTTCACATTAAAGAAACCAACAGTAATCTGTACTTATTATTTCTTTTCTGTTAAATAGGAATATTTCATTATGGTCTTAGTGTATTTTGTTATTATTAACATAATATTCCACAATATTTAAAGTTGGTCAGTTGTCACATATATTTATATATGTGTTTTAAAAGGGAACTGGTTTCCTAATTATCTGCCTCTTATTTATGAGGAATATGAGTGCTAAAGAAATGCAGACAGGTGTCTAGAGTTCATTAAAGCCTAGTTTGAGTTTTTATCTTGTTGGCATAGGAATTTACAGTGATTCATTGGGTTATTTATTTAACTGGTTTCATTTTAAACGTATCCTTGCCCCAACAATGATTTACTTTAGAACAGTATTCTGTTGAGTACAGGGATTAATTTAATTTAACATCCAAATATCTGATTCTGTAATTATTAAAATCAATATAAACAACACCATTGTGTTGGTAATCATTTGGGGACACTTTTTAGTATGAAAATATTTGGGGGCACCTAAGTGGCTCTGTCAGTTAAGCATCCAACACTTGATGTCCAACACTTGACCTCAGCTCAGATCTTGATCTCAGGGTCATGAGTTCAAGCCTCCCCTCCACCCAGTTGGGCTCCACGCTGGGCGTGTGGCCTACTTACAAAAAAAAAATAATAATAATAATAAATCTTTGGGGGCACCTGGATGGCTCAGTCAGTTGGGTGTCTGCTTTCGGCTTGGGTCATGATCCCAGAGTCCTGGGATCAAGCCCCCCATCGGGCTCCCTGCTTGGCAGGAGGCCTTCTTCTCCCTCTCCCTTTGTCTGCCACTCCCTCTGCTTGTGCTCTCTCTTGCTCTCTCTCTCTCTGTCAAATAAATAAATAAAATCTTAAGAAAAAACTTTGGTTATTCTAAAATGCTGTTTATTTGTTTTTTGATATTTTCAGAATATAATTTGTCTGATAATACTGTTAATTATTGGGGAAAACAAAGAGCCCCATCAGACGTGTTTGGATTTTCTTCTCATATTCTGAAGATCGGGATTATTTTGCCTGACTGAACATAATTTCTGAGACTTTTCAAAATATAATACACAGAATAATTTTTTTTCTCTCTGCCTCTACCGCATGAGCTCATTTGTCACTGGTAATTTTTTTTTTTTAATGCATCCCACATGTCAAGCTGCTTCCTACGCAGAATAATATCAAGAATATAAACCTGATTGATTCTGTATTTTGGGATAAATGAGGTACTCTTAGATACAGACTCATCTCAGTCTCATACAGCGTAGGCCTTCCAGTATTGCTAGGATATTGGATGGAGCAGCCAAGAATGACTTTTTTCCTCCTACGTTACCAACCAGGAAGTTTCTGTGGTGAGAGAAATATTCCCTGCACTCAGAGAATGCTGTTATCATATGGAAAGTATAACTGGAAACAAGGAGAGAGGCAGTCTCAAAACACAGCGCTCGAGCCATAGATTTCAAATATGCCAGGAGAAAATATAGTTTAATTTTCATTTCGATGAGCTAGGTATGACTTTATTTTGAAATGGTTCTGGCATTTCTTTTACAACTGGAGATATTTTGTGTCCTTTCTTCTATTTCTCTTAATTTAAAATTTCTGTGTCTACCCCTCTGTGTAAAAGATTGCCAAGACCCAGAATAGTGTGGTTTTGATGAGAGTAGTTGCAAGTGTTTGTTATTGATGTTTTAAAGAATCCCTTTATCAAAAATAATTGGCCACTAATGATGGGGTTCATTATGTCGTTCTCTAAAATCCAAAGATGAATCTGGGTGGAGAATGAAGAGCAGGGAAGCAAGAAGAGGATGATAAGTGCTCAACATAGATGGCTGGAATGGCAGAGCAAGTGGGAGATTTTATCTCTTATAGTCTATGGGGAATATTGAAATCTTATTTCTCTTACAATTTAGAACACTTAATAGACAAATTCAAACTATATGTTAGATTTCTAAACTACAGAAGTTATCTTTAGTCTATGGTTACAGTTTACTTTTTTTTTATTAAAATTAGTACCAATGTTGTGTTATATTTGTACTATTATTTTATATTGTAACTATTTTTTTATCTTAATCTATTCTTCAAAACAAATTTAACAAAATTTATGTTGATTATATTTCAGGATGAACCAAATTCATATCAAAGGATCTTAGGAATGAGGGGGAGAGACATAAAAAAGCAGTGAGTAAGACACAGCTGGATTTTCAGATCCTGGTTAGAAAAATCAGCTTTTGACTGAAAGCTGAGAAAATTTTATGTTTATTATTGAAGAAAAGTAAATTCGAAGACCTCACAAATATCTTTTTAAAGTCTGCTCCAAAATTGAAAGGTAGCACTTCCTCTTAGGAACTTAATTTGCCTGGAAAATGTAGACATTTTAAGGCGGTTAACTGCTTCTGGCTCCTCAGTGACCTTATCACTGCTCATTAATCTTCTATGTATGAAAGTACTCAACATCTCAACTCCACCTATTTTTCCATGGTCACATGAAGGCAATGGTTTCTGAATATATTCTATACTATTTTTTGGCTTTGGTTTTGGTGTTTTTCTTTTTTCTTTCCAGATTTCACTCTACATGGGATTTAAGAACTGAATTCAATTTGACACATCACTCTTCCACACCAAATTGCCTTACAAACACTTGTGGGACAAATATTTCAAGATTTTTCTACATGGGTTATGGGTACAATATTAGAAATTACTTTTAGCCAGTATGAAAAATATACTGTGGATTGATTTAATAATACATTTACTCAGCAAACATTTATTGAGCCCATATTCCATAACCAGGTACTGGGAGTACAGAGATAAGTAAGATGTGATTCCTGCCTCTGAGGGGTAGCTCATTGTTTGCCTCTAAAGTCTTAAACTGGGGTACAAAGAAATAAGAGGCTGAACTAGCTGGTCCAGATAAGGTCATTTATTTTTTTATTTTAATTTTTAAAATTTATTTTCAGCATAACAGTATTCATTGTTTTTGCACCACACCCAGTGCTCCATGCAATCCGTGCCCTCTCCAATACCCACCACCTGGTTCCCCCAACCTCCTACCCCCCGCCCCTTCAAAACCCTCAGATTGTTTTTCAGAGTCCATAGTCTCTCATGGTTCACCTCCCCTTCCAATTTCCCTCAACTCCTTGGATTTGAAAAATAATGAACTGTAGAGACAAAGCGCAAATTATTGGGTGTTATGTTCTATTTGTCTAGAAAAGCTTGAAAAATAAAATTCAAGTAAACAGTAGAGTTGTTTTTCTCCAGAGGGTTTTACAGTGATTATTAAATGTTTTAATAAACATTCCCCCAGGGACTACTATGTGCAAGCCTCATGCTCAACACTAGGGATATGAATGTACGAGATTAAGTATTTCATTCTCTAGGAAGACCATGAGAGAGAGAGAGAGCTATATGAGTAATTACCATGTGGCAGGGGAAGACATTTTATTACCAAACTTCGTACCAACTGATACCTCTTGGTTGCAATGACACAAGGGAATAAAAGAGAGACTAAGGCCAGGAAGCCAGAAGTCACCAGATGACTGAGGGAAGCACCAATTCCTGTTTAGGAGAATCTTTCAAAAGCTCTTCTTATTTTTTAGATCATATATCAGGAATTTCCATGATAAATACCAAGAGAAAAATCAAAATATGTCATAAAGCATGAAAATATTTTTGTTACAAAGAGGCATTTTGGTTATCATAACAAAACCTTGTATCTTGGTGCTGTCTTATAGTTGACCCTCTAAGGAGATTTTCCATTGGGAGCAACTTCCCATTTTGCAAATAAAGAAAGTAAATAAGGAAAGAGTAAAAGATCCTCTGTAGTGACACCACCAACAATGGCAGTCTGTTTGCTCTACTCTAATTGGGTACATCTATAAATTTGGTTGGAAGATCCCTAACATTAGGACTAATAGTCTTGTGGGATAGAACTGTTATTTGAGATGGCTTGATGATGCACAGAATTAGGAGACAGCACTTCTATAGGAGATACATACTTCCTGTTTTTATTTCGTTTCTTGGCTAGTTGAAGAGGTTGGTTTTATCCTTTCATATTCCTTAAACATCTTTTAAAAAGATGAAACACTTAAAGAATCTTTTGTGTCTGTGCTTTAGTTCTGTTTATGAGCTGCCGTGCTCTTTTCAGTTGGTATCATGATCTACTCCTAGAATCCTGTGCATCCAACAAAGGCTTCCTTTTTGGCAATTACACCCAGTTTGGGTTCCTTTTACTTTCTGATATTTATAAACTTTCAAAATTGGTTATTAACTTTTTGGTTATTTCAGAGATAATAGTTTTAATTACTAAGTATACACTTATTTTTCCCATTTGAGATTTTCTTTGTTACACTACTTTTGAAATTAAAGGTGTTTGTAGAGTACTCAAGAGATTCAAAGCCTTGAATTTTATAAGTAGTACTTGGGTATGCTTTTTTGTTTTTAACTATATTTAAGGCATGTTATTGCTCACTTCCATGTGCTAGAATTTCACCTATTATAGACCAAGAATTATTTCTCACCGTTTCTGTAAGAGTAGTTTAAAAGGTGAGTCTAATTTATTTTGAGTGATATTCGTTATTAGATCAGAGTGGCTATTAAATTTCAAAGCATGATCATAGTGATTATGATTATTGCTACAGCTGGAGGCAGTGTTCTGTGGAACCTATTAGGGTATTAGTCTTCTTGGTTCTAGTGCAAGGTTTGGCAAGCTTTACTTTTGAATTAAAGTTTATAGTTTTGCCATCATCAGAGAGTTTATAGAATATCAACTGCATTGTTAGGAAGTACCACCTGAGACTGGTAGTAGCTGTCTGGAGAACCTGTTGACAATTAGGAGGCTTGTGGGAGACATTTGTAAAGGAGTGTTGCAATCTAATAGTGTCTGACATGATCATAAATTGGGAAGGGATAGAGTGAGATTTGTGTTACCTATGCCATGTGTTTGCCAAATCCACAGAGGGGCCGTAGAATTAGTTTTTAGTCCCACATGTAAATTAATATGAGAGTCATCCTCATCATATCCCTTGTCAGAAAAATCATCCCATCTTTTTCAGATACCTCCAGTGGGGAGCCGACTGCCTGCCTGAGATCCCATTCTGTTGTAAGACGGCTGTTAGAAATTTCCCCCTGTAGTGTCCTCTTCAGTTACTACTCCACATTGAAAGTTCATGAAAACCTAGTATAAAGGGTTTCTGACAAGGGTAGATTATGAGGTGGTTTTTTTGGTTTGTTTGTTTGTTTGTTGGTATCATTTATCATTTACCAACTGTCTTTTTGCCCATTTCAAAAAACTTTTAATTTCAAAATAGTTAAATATTCACAGGAAATTGCCAAAATAGTACACAGGGTTGCTGTGTAACCTTCTCCCAGTTTTCCCCAATGGTAACATCTTACGGAACTGTACTATAATAGCAAAACCAGGAACTTGGTATTGGTACAATCCACAAATCTTAATCAGGTCTCAGCAGTTTTACCTGCTTTTGTGTGTGTGTGTGTGTGTGTGTGTGTGTGTACACGCACATGTGTTTGTGTGTGTAGTTCTTTGTAATTTTATCATTTATATCTATTTGGCTAACTGTCACCATACTCAAGATACGAAACTGTACCACACCCGCAAAGAGCTCCCTTGTACCACCACTTTATAGTCACTCCCAATCCTCTCCCCTGTTGCTAATTCCTGGTAACCACTAAGCTGCTATCATCTCTGAAATTTTTTTTTTTTTTTTGAGAACTTTGTATAAATGGAATAATATAGTGTAGCCTTGGAGGCTGGAGTTTTTTTCACTAAGGATAATTCCTTTGTAATCTATCCAAGTTGATTACATGTATCAATGGTTATTCTGTTTTTTTTAAATCATTACTGATGTCTTTTCTAGGGGCCACCATAAATATTTGTCTAACTATCTGAACAACATTTAAAATATTATTAAAGTGGTTAATTTACATTTACAGAGCTCTTACATTTGAATTCACCTATTACCCAGTATATAAGAAATCTTATCTTTGACTATTTGTTGCTTGTACTGTTAGGGTTAATAAGGAGTCCCAAGAGTATTAGGAGAGCCCTTTCTTCTGTCTGTTTCTAACCAGCCCTGGGGTCTCATACTACTCATTCAACCCCTTTTTGTTACTTCTTTTGTGACCAAGGGCTGTCCACCTGAAAGGATGATTATGTGGATGAAATGAGACATAAAAGACAAAATAAAAATTTTTCTATACCTTGTCAAACCAAAATTAATTTGTAAGGTAAATTGTTAACCTGTGGTTGTGTCTGGTGTAGTGAGACTGACGATTGGAGTTTTTTTTTTTTAACTTGTCTTTATTTTCCAACTTTCCTATAATGCATATATATTTTATCCTTGTTTTTCTAATAAAAATACGTACTCATTAAAAATTGAACCATAATAAAAATATATACACTAGAAAGTGAAAGCCTGCAGAAATCCCTCACCTAAAGTTAATTATTATGAACTGTTTGTTGTATGTTTTTTCTGTTCATGGAAGAAGTTTTTGTTATTAGTACTAAAATAAAACCAGGGATTTGCTGTGCACATTGTTTTACATCTCTTTTACTAAGGTTTCTTGAATATTTTTTCCTGTCTGTACGGGTGACCTTATTAGCTGTGTGGTTATTTCAGTGTGTACATGTAGTATTCATTCATTTACTCAGTTACTTCTCATTGAATGCCTGCTGTGTTCAAGGCATCATGCTGGGGAAACTGTGATGAATAATACACGAAGCTTACATTTTAGAGGGAAGATAGACATTAATAATGATTAATTTCTTAATTGATTATTTGACTACAAATGTGATATTGACTAGGAGAAGGACTATCAAGAGCTATGCAAGTGTCTGTTTGGGCACTAGGCCTAGTCTGGGAACCAAGGAGGAGCTCCCAGACAAAGTGACTTCTGAGCTGAACTCTACAGTTATGTGTGAATTAGGAAACGACTGGTAAAAGAGTAGTGTATCGATGAATATATATTCATCTAGATATTTCAGTATATGGCTGGAAGACCATATAGTAAAATGGCAACCATCTTTTTTTTGTGTGTGTGGTGGCTTTTTTTTTTTTTAATTCTGTATTCTGTACAGAATAGTCTGTATTCTGATTTGTCTACAGTGAATGTGTATTTATCATTTAGCCAAAACAAAAAGAAAAACCAGAAGTGTTGAATGACCG